TAATTGCAATTATTCTGAACAACTTAGAATGCTTTGTACATAGTAGAGTCTCAAATGTTGTTAGTTAGAACTAAACATTGGACACAAAACCATCCTAAACAGGCAACCTGATTCCCTATGGTTTTAATATCTGATTTCCAGATAACTAGAAGTCTGCCTTTAATACACTCTTATGTGCACTGAGATTTTCACAGAGTGATAAACAAAGTAAACATTTGAGCTGGAAATCACTGGAAGTGTTTGAACCAAATAAAAGGGTGCTACAAAGGAAATCTATCCTTAACTTTATAACCAGACACAAATTTTTTCTGGTTTACTGTTATACAGTTGAGAAAGCATTTTTCTCCAGAATTGTTTAATTTCACTGACAGGGAAGTTTGGTTTCTTTTTTTCTAACACAATAACCTCTTTTTTGCATGATTTTAGACACATTTAAAGGAAAATTTTGTTTTTAAAGATTTTATTTTTCCCTTTTCTCCCCAAAGCCCCACAGTACATAGTTGTATATTCCGGTTGTAGGTCCTTCTGGCTCTGCTGTGTGGGACGCTGCCTCAGCAAGGCCTGATGAGTGGTGCCATGTCCACGCCCAGGATTCAAACTGGTGAAACCCTGGGCCGCCAAAGTGGAGAATGGGAACTTAACCACTCAACTTCAGGCTCACCAATCCCTCTTTTCTAAATTTACTTTGCTCCCTCTATCCAAAGCCTGCATTTCCTGGAGCTATCTTGATTCAGCATTATCTATGCAACAAGAGTTTTCAGAAACTCAACAAAGCTAAGAAAACGTCTCCACAGTAAGAATCAAACAGAATGGGGACCAGTCTCAGTGGCTTAGTGGTTAAGTTCAGCGTACTCCACTTTGGCAGCCCAGGCCTGGTTCCCTGGGCATGAACCTACACTACTCATTGGTCACCATGCTGTGGTGGCAGCCCACATACAAAGTAGAGGAAGATTGGCAACAGATGTTAGCTCAGGGCAAATCTTCCTCAAGCCAAAAGAAAAAAGGAATCAAACAAGATAGCATAAGGTAGAGAGTAAGGTTTTGGCCAGATTTATGCTAGGTGTGTGGAACAGCCTTAGGAAGATTTAATCAGATTCAGTTCTAATTTACATGCTGTTCACTTTAAATCCCAATATGGATATAATGAGCTTGGAAGTATAAATAAAAATCATATGAAATCTCAGTGCTTCACGGGCTGCCAGTAATTCCACACGATTGCATTCTTTCAAAATAGTCACCATGGAGAAGTCAAAGCTTTTTGCAAGGACTGCTGAAATCATTTTGGATTTTTCTTTTCAAATTGTTATTATAGTCAGTTTTTTCCCTGCTTTTTCACTTTTCCTTTCCCATACACACAAGTTCTTCCTAGCCGATCCCTGACTTTGACCAAAAGTGGATTATCTAAAACAATCAATTACCTGTTCATCACTTATGGCTCTGAATATCTTTCTGATACTTCAAAAACAAATCTTTGTTCCCATTTCTCAACCATCCACAAAGAATGATGACCTGCCACCACTGATATATTTTAAATGTTTTGCAGGTTTTTAAGGACATTTCAAAGGAAGAGGTCCAAGGTATTTTAAGTAATATCAGCAGCACTGAAATAAGTGAATAATTTCTAACAGGGAATAATTTCTCTTAAGGGAGAAAATTAATTTTGGTACTTAATTTCAGCATTTGTTAACAGAGACATTAATATTTTGCTATACTTTATATGTATACACACTATGCGCACATGTGTGTATGATCTTAAAATCTCTTGAATATTTTTAAGTGGAAAGTTAAAATTGAAAGACAGTAGCAGAAGAAAAATCAGCATGTAAAATGCCACGAGAGAAAACAGCTGCTGGGAGAACATAAATGTAAAAGAGATCTGACAGCTTCCTTCATAATTTTACCCGGTAGATTAGTAGTAGTTAAGAATAAAACTATCATGAAAAAGCAATAAGATTTCAATATTTTTTAACACATCTAAAGGCTTTGGCTTTATAGTCAACCTGTCGGGAAACTAAAAACCTATAAGAAACTTTTGTTTCTCTAATAATCAACTTCAATATGGATTTTATTCCTTTGTTTTACTTGCTTTATTTTAACTAGTGGAATTTTAGGAATAAGGTTTAACTTTATCAATTTTAAATTTGTCTTACTGATATACTTGTAAAGACTTCATTTACATTTTATCTAGGTGTTTCATTTTGTTACATACCATCGAAAATTCAGTAATCATAAATGCACAACCCCCTACTCCTAAAGACTGCACACAGGCTCTCTTCAATAATTCAAAGAGCTTTCTATAACGATGAAGTCATACTGATGAACGCAATAGGAAAATTCTAGTACTATTTAACATCACTTAAATAATTCACTGTAGAAACTAGGCATAATAGAGCAAGAAAAACAAATTCTAAGTGCTCAAAATATTTTGCTTTTTCTTATGCCAAGGCATATTTCTCAAATCACAGTGACAGTTTTTCTTCTCTTTTGTTGGAGTACATGACAGCTATTCATATACTGGAGCAGGTGCAAAACATAAATGCTTTCCTAATAAAGTCAAGAATGTCAGCATTCTGTGTGCAGTGATGGGCAGACCTCCATCATTTTTGCATAAGATATCTCCTGGGAAGGCTATCATCAGACCTTATTACTACACTATCAACTTACTCTCATGTCAAATTGTTATTCTTCAAAGACAGCCAGCTGAGTTGCACTTTACTTTTTTTTACATTCCCTGATAGGTGATGAAAAAAAAAGTCAAACAGAGCATAAAGAACAAGGTCGTTCATAATTTCATTTAACGCCAAACAACTCCAAAATCCCTACTCCTTTAAATGTAGTATTGTGCATTTTTTAATTATGACATATCAGTAATGATTCAATCTGGCTATACAAAATAAGCAATTGAGACAAAAATTGAAAAAAAACCCAGTCAATAAATGATTTTTGTCAATACGGAACTATGGTAGATTCTAAAATGAACTAATTAGAGCCAGTAATTAAGAAATTAATTTTAAAAATTATATGGTAATTACAATAAAATAAATAAAATATGGCTAAATATTTTATTTTTCCTTTGATGTTTATTTATAGAAGTTCTTTTTTACATGATTATAAATCAAGAGCCATACTCAGATTGTGTAAAGAATGATTTTTTCTCAGTTTATTGGAGGTGATATAACATTCTACAGAAGATAACACAGTCTATACTGAATTACTATGTACTACGAAGGTAAATTGCAATTTGTTATGGTGAAAGGTGAGAAAAAGTGAAACTTCCTCAAAGACATCAATTAATGAGATTTTTGTTTGTAAAATGGCCACATGTAGAGAATGACACAAAATGAATATAATCTTATAAATAGTCAAACAAGTACTCCTTCTCATTATTCTTCCTAATTTTTCTACATATAGGCACTCCATCTTTACCTCGAATTATGAGAATAAAGCTCCAGTCTGTGGCAAGTTTAGTAAAACTTGAATTTCTGGGTCTCTATCTGTCTGTTCACTTTATCTTAGTGCCAGCGGCATATTTCCAACTAAAGAATGAGGCTGATTGGGTCATAGGGCATGTATAAGCCACAAGAAAGCTATTGAAAAACCTATCACCAAAAAATCCATAAAGGCAAACTGAGAGTCCTATAAGGCACACTCCTTCCACAGGGAGGTTCCGTATCCACCTTAAAGTGTATATAACAATGGAATATTATTCAGCCATGAGAAGGAAGGAAATCCTGCCATTTGTGACAACATGGATGAATCTGGAAGACATAATGCTAAGTGAAATAAGGCAGACAGAGAAATACACATATTGCCTTATCTCATTTATATGTGGAATCTAAAAAAAAAGAGCCAAACACAGAAACAGAAAGTAGAATGATGGTTATCATCTCTGGGGTGTGGGGGAAATGGGGAGATGCTGGTCAAAGGGTACAAGCCTTCAGTCATAAGATGAATAAATTCCGGGGATATAATGTACAGTATGGTGACTCTAGTTAATAACATTGTATTTTATATTTGACATTTGCTACGAGAGTAGTCGTAAACATTCTCATCACACACACAAAGGTAACTATGAGAGGTGATGGATGTATTAATTAATCCAATGTGGTAATCATTTCACAATGTATACATATGTCAAATCATCATATTGTACACTTTAAATATATACAATTTTATTTGTCAATGATACCTCAGAAAACCTGGGGGGCGGGGCAGAATAAAGTAAGGACAAACTCCAGGAAATGAGATGAAGTGGAAAGATACAACTTGAGACAGACAGGAGAGAGCCTCTGCTGACCAGATGACCTTTACTTCATGGGGGAAAAGACAGAGGAAGTTCTTGGATTTTGGAGAAACAAAAGAGATGACTTATTTCTGCATTGCTGTTTCAATTATTTGACCAAAGTCAAATTTTCTGCCTAGCATAAAAATCAATCTCTGATCCAGTGCAAGATATGTCTTGCTGGGGTTACAGCCACCTCAACTTAGACAAATTTGGTTTTTCCTAGCTAATTCCAGCCTCGTATCTTGGGGTGAAGACTTTTAAATATATGCAGAATTGTTTTAGTCATCCCCATTATGATAATGGATCATTTTCTCCCCAGATTTTGGTATCATATCCCCCCCCAAGTTCAACTAAAGCCATATTGGTTTTATATCAAAGTACCGCAAGTAGTGACAATATCAAATATAAGTTTATGCCTTCTTTTCCCAAATTTTGCCTAACAGGTAGAAGTTTAAAAAAATTGGTGAAACATACTTATTAATGAATATATCAGAACACTACTGAACTTTAGTGAAAAAACTATTTGGTATTGAAACTAGTCTGACATATTTTTGTTCTATTAAAAAATCCTCTAGTATTTTTCTTAAAATGTTAAGAGTCTTCACCTCTTTTATTTGAAAGTAACTACAGCACTAAAAATATATTATCATTGATCCACTCAAAATTTCATAAACACAGATTCTAATAATATCAATCATTACCTCAAATTTACTATTGTAGGGAAGATTTTGAATAGTGGACCATTTTTTTGGTAATAATAAACGTAGACAAAATTAGACAGAGTATTTATTTATTGTCTGGTAACACTGATAAGAAAATAGCAATGTCAGACATAATCAGAGGTTGTGGCTTCCAATCCTTATGCCATATATAAATTTATACATCAGGTGCTTGAACATTCTATCTTTATACCACTTTATGTTCAAACAGAAGAATATTAAGATTGTAAAACTAGCCAGGAAGGAGATTATTCAAAACTTTAAAAAAATTTTAAACTAACCATAAAGTCTTGTTTCAAGAGCTTTTTCAACCCTTGTGATCTCAAATTATTGCACAAGTAATAAGGTAAAAGTAATGAAATACTTTACAAAAATGTTCAACAGAATTTAAAATTTTAACTTAAGGGAATTTGGAAGTTCAATCATTCTCAAAGAGGCTGTAAGGATGATTAAAATCCTGAAGGAAGCCTGAAAGAAAAAGGACACAATCATTATTGGAAATGTAATACAAGGTTAACTCTCAGGTTTCATGTTTAGACTAGAAAGCTTAAGTTCAAGGCCATTACACCAATTTTTATGGAAATGTAATGTTTTCCAACTCATGGTTCATCCCTTGAAAAGCTGTACATGGGTAATAATGATTATTAACTCCAATTAGTCACACACACTGGGATAAATTGGGAATGAAAAGCTTCTTCAATTACCCAAACTAACGTAAATGATTTATTTCCTTCTGCTGACATGAAAGGAAAAGAGTTGAATGTTCACGAAGGATAGCATTTACCCACCCTGCACTAAGGTCAGAGAGCTCACTCAGCATAAATATTCCCAGAAAAGGTTCAACTTGGCAGAAAAGAAACCGTCTACTCCAAAAGGTCACCATGTCAGCTTGACTTTTCATCTGCTCTGAGAAAACTCCTGTCAAAGCCCATTACTGTAAGGCAGCAGCTGTTCTGTAGAATGATGGCCTCCAAAGGAGAATAGTCTCTCATAGGCCCCAATGCAGCTCCTCCGATTCACAGACTATTTCTTGTTTCCTCAGACTCCATTCTTAGTCACAACCCCATGGCTTTGCTTTCCTATCTCAGATGCCTATTCCCAAATGTTTCTCTACATTTTACATAAGCCCAGCTGAAAATCATACCCTCTAAGTCAAGTGGAACCCAAGCTCCTTCTAACGGCCTATAAATTCCTACATAATCTGACCCTGCCAATGTCTCCAGTTTATCCCCTTGCTCACTCCAACCTCAATGAACTTCAGTTTCTCCAACACCCCAAGCTCTGTCTTGCTTCGGAGCCTCCACCTAGTGTGTTCCTCCCCCTCACTCTACACCTGGCTGGTTCCTTATCATATTCTGGTCTTTGCTTAAACCCTAACCCTCAAGGAAGGCTTTGCTATTTATCTCAAGTAGGTTCACCTTTATTTCCTCCAATTTCAGTCTCTTCTTTTCTTCCCAGCAGTGTCACAATTTTTAATTATTTTCCTTTGCTTCTCACTTTTTTTGTATCCACACTGGGATCATCGCCTGTCTTTTTTTTCTTTTCCCCCCCAGCTTTATTGAGATATAATTGACATATAACATTGTGTAAGTTTAATTGCACACACTGTGTACAATGTTTTGATCTGATGCACTTATATACTGCGAAATGATTCCCACCATAGCGTTAGCTAACACCTCCAGTACCTCACATAATTACCATTTCTTTCTGCTGGTAAGAACATTTCAGATCTACTCTCTTAGCAATTCTCCAGTATATAATACAGTATTATTAGCTATAATCACCATGCTGTACATTAGATCCTCAGAACTTATTCATCTGTTAACTCGAAGTTTGTACCTTTTGACAAACATTTCCCATTTTCCCCTGATATTGTCTGTCTTGTTCACATTGTATCCACAAAGCAAAAAAGCAATAAATGTTTATTCAACTGAATCCATCCTACCCTGATCTATCTTTTTCTAACTCCATTCATTCTTATCAGAATCAGAGCAAAATGAACTCATCATTTACTCGATTTTATCATTATTATTCAAGTCAACATATATACCTACCATATGCCAGGAACTGTGAAGTGCTGCCATAGCAGCTATCATTTACTGAGTGTTTACTATGTGCTAGGCACTGTTATAAGTACTTCACATATGTTATTTCTTTGTATCACCACAACTATATAAAAAAGCAACTATTTTTATCTCTACTTTAAAGATGAGGAAACTGAGACATAGAGAGGTTAATAATGCACCCAAGATGTCACAAACAGTAAGTGGCAGAGCTGAGATTCTGCACCCTATTAAATAAAACACAATTTCTACCTTAAGATAAGTACCAGGAGAGAGGGTAAAGGAAAGTGAGCTGGAAATTCAAAGGGAAGAGATAACATTTGCTTACAAGAGACTGAGACAATTTATTTGAGGGTGGCTTTTAAGATGAGATCTGAAAGGAGGAAGGGGCGGAGCAAAATGGCAGGGTGAGCTGACCTGGGATTCTCTCCCCTCCAAAATACAAGAAAAGATTGGAAGAACTGAATTTCAGAGAATAAACATAATGCCAGCTCGTTAGAGACCTACAACACCAAGAAGGCAGAGATCATAAACCCTACTTACAGCCTCGGAGGCACTGGAACGGTAGGAGAGAACATTGCTCCCTCCCCTAGAGTCTGTGATCACTGCGGTGTGGGTCGGGAAGGAGCGGGGGAGGGGCTGAGCGCCCGGGGGGATCATCCAGGACTCCTGCTGCTGATTCAGTGGAGACCCGCTGACGCGGGGAAAGCTTCCATCTGCGGGGACCCCATAAACCAAGGGCCTTGGGAGACCAGAGAACAGAACTGATCTGAACCCAGACCGGGGCACGTGAGTAACAGCCCCTCCCCCCCAGCAAAGCCAGTGGGTGCAGCCATCTTGCCCCAAGGCGGAGAGCTCATAACACGCCACTCTCGACCCCCATCTAGTGGCAACACACTGTAACTGCAACCGAATTCTACCACCATGTGAAAAAACCACTCCTCTACCATCCAGCAATTTATAAAAGCCCCAGACCAGAAGGAAAACAATAAAAACATAGAATTAAGTCCTGAGGACTTGGAATTAGGTCAACTAAGTGATAATGAGTTCAGAGCAGCTATAATCAAAAAATTCAATGAGGTAGAGAGAAAGATAGAGAAACAAGCCGAGTTCTGGAATTACTTCACAAAAGAGTTTGAAATCATAAAGAAGTATCAAACAGAATTACTTGAGATGAAAAACACAATGGACCAGATAAAACAGAATATGGATTCCCTGAATGCCCATGTAGACACCATAGAAGAGCAAATTAACATAATTGAAGATAGACAGGCTGAATGGATCCAGTCAGAGGAAGAAAGAGAACTAAGAATTTAAAAAAATGAGGAAAATCTCTGAGAGATAATGGATTCAATGAGGAGTAAGAACATAAGGATCATAGGAATTCCCGAGAATATGGAAAAGGAAAATGGAGCAGAAAGTGTGCTTAACGAAATTATTGAAGAGAACTTCCCAAATCTAGGGACCGACGGAGAAATGTGTGTAGAGGAGGGTTTTAGATCTCCTAGATTTGTCAATGTAAAAAGAGCTACCCCAAGGCACATAGTAGTAAAATTGGCAAAAAGGAAAGATAAAGAAAAAATACTCAGGGAAGTAAGAAAAAAAAAGAGAATAACCTATAAAGGAGCCCCTATCAGACTGTCAGCAGATTTCTCTACAGAAACCCTACAAGCTAGGAGAGAATGGAGTGACATATTCAAAGCTTTAAAGGATGAAAATCTTCAGCCAAGAATACTCTATCCAGCAAGAATTTCCTTCAGATATGAGGGAGAAATTAAATCTTTTCCAGACAAACAAAAGTTAAGGGAATTTGTAACCAAAAGCCCTCCATTACAAGAAATCCTCAAGAAGGCTCTCATACCTGAAAAAAGAAAAAAGGGAGAAAGGGGATACAATCCACAGACTAGGGAGACCGATGGATAGAACCAGAACAGGATAGCAATTATTCAATTATAGCATTAGGGTAAAGGTAAGGAAACTACCAAAGCAAGGACGATCTTATCACTCTAACTACAAATTAATAAGATGAGTTGGAATAAAAAATGAAAATAATTATTTAGGAGGGGAAGAGCAAAGGGTCTAAATCAGTATTGGTCAAGTAAGTAAGAGACCACCAGAGAATAGACTATATTATACACGAGATTCTAAATACAAACTTCAAGGTAGACACTAAAATAAAGTACAGAACAGAGTCACAAATCATAAATAAGGAAAAATCTAAGAAACCCAGCATAAGAAATTGCAGTATTAAATAGGTAGTTTAGAGCAAACAGGAAAAGAAACACAGGAAAACAAGATAATGAGCGACAGATTGACAGCATTAAGTCCACATGCATCAATAATCACTCTCAATGTAAACGGATTGAACTCTCCAATTAAAAGACACAGAGTGGCAAAATGGATTAAAGAACACGATCCAACAATTTGTTGCCTCCAGGAAACACACCTCAGCCCCAAGGACAAACACAGACTCAGGGTGAAGGGGTGGAGGACAATACTTCAAGCAAATAGCAAGGAAAAAATGGCAGGTGTTGCAATTCTTATATCAGACCAAGTGGATTTCAAAATAAGACAGGTAAAGAGAGACACAGAGGGACAATATATAATGATCAAAGGGACACTTCATCAAGAAGAAATAATGCTTATAAATATCTATGCACCCAACACAGGAGCACCAAGATTCATAAAGCAACTATTAACAGACCTAAAGGAAGATGTTAAAAACAACACAATAATAGTAGGGGACCTCAACACCCCACTCACATCAATGGACAGATCATCCAGACAGGAAATCAACAAGGAAATAGTGGAGCTGAATGAAAAACTAAAACAATTGGACTTAATAGACATATATAGATCACTCCACCCTGAAGGAGCTGAATACACATTCTTCTCAAGTGCACATGGAACATTCTCTAGGATAGACCATATGTTGGGAAACAAGGCAAGCCTCTACAAATTTAAAAAAATTGAAATAATAACAAGCATCTTCTCAGATCATAGTGCTATAAGGCTAGAAATTAATTACAAGAAAAAAGCTGAGAAAGGCACAAAGATGTGGAGACTAAACAACACACTACTGAACAAGCAATGGATCATTGAAGAAATTAAAGAAGAAATAAAAAAATACCTGGAAACAAATGAAAATGATAGCATGCCATACCAACTCACATGGGATACAGCAAAAGCTGTATTAAGAGCAAAATTCATCGCAATACAGGCACATCTTAACAAACAAGAGAAATCCCAAATAAGCAACCTTAAAGCACACCTAACTGAACTAGAGAAAAAAGAACAAATGAAGCCCAAAGTCAGCAGAAGGAGAGAAATAATAAAAATCAGAGCAGAAATAAATACTATTGAAACGAAAAAGGCAGTAGAAAGGATCAATGAGACAAAGAGCTG